GGTATATTCCTATTTTCAGTAAAGAATCTTATTAGGACAACTGTATAACCGTCTAGTACGGATTCGTACAGATCCATTCCGAAATTTACGCCACGGTCTTGGGGACGTGGCGGGAATCTTGTCCTTCTGTAACAAACTCATAACGGCACTGTCTCGGAGTTGGTCGTACTCGGTTCCGGTGTTCCTCGAGCACTTATGTCTTCGAGCCTCTTATTCTACCTTCGAGCATGAGCTCGGCTCCGATGTCCCTCTAACACTTAGATCCTCGGGCATTGCACTCTATCTTCGAGCTCGAGTTTGGTTCATCGAGCTCGAATTTGACCTTGCCTGAACTCGGGCTTAAGCTACCCCTTGAGCAGGAGAAATCGGGCATACCTGATTTCGACCGTATACAGATAGTCCCCGCGTTTCTTGGAGTGTAATGACAAGAAACGAATTGAGTCCTTGATCTTTACCCGGACTTATCATGATACCATCGCCATGATGCATGCGATAAAGGAAACAAAAGCTTCGGAGCTGGCCCTTCCTGAGGAAAACTCCGAAAACTCTAGTGAATCTAGCGGTGGATAAGATTCTGAGGATGAAGGCACTTCTATTGATAAGGATAGTACTGCTTAGGATTCATGCTTTCCGTAACATTTTGCCTTTATTTTGATATTGATCGACAATAAGTACTGCCCTCGAACGTTTCTGATCAACGGACCAAGAATGAACATTTGGACATGAATTTTAAGTAGCTCCTAAGCTCAATAGTCGATTTGCTTGATCTCGAGATAAAATTAGCCTCTAGGCTTTATGGATAGTCCCCGAGTGAGATTTTGCTCGAGCTCGGGTTAAGATAGCTTGTGGGCTGTATAATTGAGTGAGGATTAGCTCGGACTCGAAGTAAAGTTAGCCCTTAGGCTTTATAGATAGTCCCCGAGTGAGAGTTTGCTCGAACTCGGGTTAAGATAACCCATGGGCTGTATAGTCGAGTGAGGATTTGCTCAAACTCGAAGTAAAGTTAGCCCTTGGGCTTTATAGATAGTCCTCGAGTAAGAGTTTGCTCGAACTGGGGTTAAGATAGCCCGTGGGCTGTATAGTCGAGTGAGGATTTGCTCGAACTCGAAGTAAAGTTAGCCCTTAGGCTCTTTTACACTGTCCCTTAGGCTCTTTTGGTTGGCCTTTAGGCTCTTATATATCGGCCCTTAGGCTCTTTAAGTCGGGCCGATTCGGCCGCTAAAGTAGCTATAATTTTTTCCTCTTTCCGGCTAAAAGACTTAGTGAAAATTTTTGTATGCCTTAGCATGTGTTTTTCGTACCCGTTGGGTTTTTCGAGGGTTCGACGTATTGGAACCTTATTAGTAACTTGTTTGTGTAATGATAATCGTATACCTCTTGAGGTTTTTTTGAAGGCTGATATTATCGAAGCCTTTAAATTATTCAAGGGCTGATTTTATCGAAGCCTTTTCTGCTTTTGCCGAGTGTACCGAGTTTAACCGATTGTTCGAAGTATTTGAAGGCCTTTAATTTATGGCAGAAGTCAGACGTCTCCGAGCCACATTATTTCAGTCGTAGCCTTTTTATATGACCGTAGTCTTTAGTATGGCCGTAGCCTTCGGGTATGTCTCTTGGACTTGTTTCCCGATAATATTTCGAACTTGTTCAAAATGCTAGTCCCCGAGTCTGATGGCCTTGGCCTGTATATCGGGGATGACTCTTTGAGGTCTTATTATCTCGAACTTAGATAGCTCGAGTAAATAGCCCCCGAGTGTTCGAGACATGCTTGCACTTGGGTCAAGATAGCTCTTATGCTTTTGTGATCGAACAAGGATTTGTTCAAACTCGAAGTAAAGTTAGCCCGTAGGCTTCATAGATGGTCTCCAAGTGAGGGTTCGCTCGAACTCGGGCTAAGGTAGCCCTTTGGCTTTTGTATTTGTCACGAATTTCGGATGTCTCCGATCCGCGTTAGTTTGGCCGTAGCCTCTTTAGTTCGGAAGTTTCCCTTTGTGCTGATCTTCCGTTACACTTCAAGCTTGCCCGAAGTGTCAGTCCCCGAGTGGGGTGGCCGTGGCCCGCAAAATCGAGGATTGCCTTTAAGGTCTTATGGTCTCGAAATATTAGCATTTGATTCCATTCGCTTTTAGGACAGCAGCCCTCAAGCATGAGTCAGTTGTTCGAATTTCCACCGTGGTCGGCCCTTAAGCCTGTTTACATAATAGATCAAGAGTATAAAATACGAAAATTTAATTAGGGCAGGGGATATCGACAAGGAAAAGTACTTCTCTTGATAGATGATTTTACATGCGTGCATGCTTGATGTCTAGGGTACAGTAACTTATACGCGCACGGTTCATCTGACCGTTTGGCCCTTACAACACTTTCCTATCGAGGCCCGTGTAGGGAACCTCAGATTCTGTTGAATTGTTTTTAGTTAGCACGAACAACAGTTGCCTCGTTAAAAACCCATTTGGGACAAAAACCGATCTAAGGGAAAAAGAGTGCAACATGTGCTTCAAGACCTAGAGCCTCGTGCCGATCCTTATCGATAGCCTGCAAGTGTTAGTCCAAAGAATAGAAAAAATTGGACTGGGGTCTTACCTTTATTCGAACTTGGGATACTTAACGTGATCTTCCTCGGCATCAAGCCCCCGCGAGTTTGAACCTCGATCATTTCTCCTCTCATTTCGTGTGAAGCTTTGCCCGGAACCGCTGCCTCTATGGTCTCCGTTGTACGGTTGGTATCGATCTCTATTCGACCTCAACTCTCGATTGATATTCCTTTTGATCCTATCCATGATCCTGCTAGGATAAACGGACCCCGAAGGAGTCTCTAGTTGATCGTCTTTGACTCTAATCTTTGACTGATACCGGTTACGTACATCGGCCCAAGTGACAGCCGGGTACTCGATTGAACTTTGCTTCAACTGCTGTGCCACTATGGAACTCCGTGCGTTGAGACCTTGAGTGAAAGCTTGAACAACCCAGTCATCGGTGACCGGAGGTAGATCCATTTTCTCCACTTGGAATCGAGATACGAACTCCCTGAGCATCTCGTTATTTTTCTGCCTTATCTTGAAAGGGTCCGACTTTCTTGTTGCAATTTTGATGGCTCTGGTGTGTGCCTTTACAAAAGAATCTGCACGCATAGCAAACGAATCAATAGAATTAGGGGTTAAGTTATGATACCATATTAAGGCTCCTTTCGATTGAGTCTCCCCGAACTTCTTTAGTAGTACAGATTCGTTTACGTCGTCTTCCAAGTCGTTTCCCTTTATGACGCATGTGTAAGAAGTAACATGTTCATTTGGGTCAGAGGTTCCATTGTATTTAGGTATATCGGGCATACAGAACTTTTTTAGGATGGGCTTCGGAGCCGCACTCGTAGGGAACGGCCTTTGTATGAATTTCTTGGCATCCAACCCCTTCGAGATCGGGTGTGCCCCTGGTATTTGATCAACACGGAACTTAAGTCTCCACTTTCTTATCATTGTCCTCGATCTTCTTTTCCCCGGACTCTATCCACTTGTTGAGCTCTTCGAGCATTCTCATAATAATGGGGTCAGTCCCCAAGCCATTTTCGTTTGACCTCGCAGGCGCCGGTCTAGCACGTCGAGTGTTTTCCGATTCAGCTATACTCGAAGTCTTATTTTTGACTTTGAAGTTGGGCAATGGCGATCTGTTGAGCTTGCAGCATCTCGAATATCACTTGGAGGCTGATGCCCCCATCACCCACTCCTTGTGTTCCTTGGCCATCAGGTCGGGCTTCCCTGCGTACACTCCTTCTGGGGTCTGTGCCTAAATCTGCGTTTAGAGCAATGTGTGAGCTAACATCAACTGGTTCCATGTTTGGCACTTCCCCAGGGTTTATCGGTGGTACACCGACCCCTATATTGTTGTTTTCACCAAGACCTTCGTTGTCATGAATATATGCGCTGTGTGAGCTAGACATGTTTCACCCTAAGAATAAAAAATTCTTGACAAGAAAAAGTGTAAGAATATCGTGTGTAATGAGAATCAGTAAAGAAACAATCACTATTATCTTTGGTCCCCCGGTGGGCGCCAAGGATACGTGATTAGATTCAATATCAATTAATAATCAAGAAATATGAGGTAGAGATGAAATATAGAAGTGAATCAAACCAATGTTTCTTGATAGCGGTGACCTCGGGGTGGGCTTAGAACAACAAGAATGATTAAGTAAGAAAAGTAAAGTAAGAACAGTAGAGCTAAAAGACAATGCTGATGAACAGTAGACAAAAAGCAGAAAGTATATTCTTTTCTCAGTGATAATGTCATATTACAAATGATCGGGATCCCCTTTATATAATAAGGGAACCCTAAATAGGTATATTCCTATTTTCAGTAAAGAATCTTATTGGGACAGCTGTATAACCGTCTAGTACGGATTCGTACAGATCCATTCCGGAATTTACGCCAAGGTCTTGGGGACGTGGCGGGAATCTTGTCTTTCTGTAACAAACTCATAACGACACTGTCTCGGAGTTGGTCGTACTCGGTTCCGGTGTTCCTCGAGCACTTATGTCTTCGAGCCTCTTATTCTACCTTCGAGCCTGAGCTCGGCTCCGATGTCCCTCTAGCACTTAAATCCTCGGGCATTGCACTCTGTCTTCGAGCTCGAGTTTGGTTCATCGAGCTCGAACTTGACCTTGCTTGAACTCGGGCTTAAGCTACCCCTTGAAAAGGGGAAATCGGGCATACCTGATTTCGACCGTATACATTAATATTTGTATGTTGTTTAAATTTTATACTTATTAGCACAGAGTACACGTGTAAAAGTATATTCTTTTAATTTCAATTAGAATGGTATTCCATAGTCCTACTTTGGAAGTAAAATATATTATACTAAATACGATTATATTTTTAGAGCTCGAACTAAACCTCCAATAATGATGGAGGTGTCGTTTATTAGAAAAAAGAAGTTTCTATTAATATGTAGTCTAAATGGTTTTTATATTTTGGCAAAAATGTTTTAAAAAGGGCTGCTATAAATTCCATCTTAGAATAGAATAGCATATAACCTAAGCGCTCTTACCTGGTCTCTTTATCGCGTCCTCTCTCTGCCGCTTCCTCTCTCACTCGCCGTCGGCGCATTTCCTTCTCTCCATTTACGTCTCCGGCAAGGAGAAATGTCATCGTCAATTATAGGTCGCTGCCATTTCGTAGCAGATAGCATTGAAGCTGCCGGAACAAAGAGGTATGTTGCCGGAGGCAAATTCGTCAATCCTATTAGAATTGATATTTCGGAAGAAAATACATCGTATTTAAGAAGACAATACAATACAATTGATAACAACTATCCAAACAAGCTGTTAATATAGCCAACTGATGGGATGATTCTTTTAGAGAGCAAAAATAGAATCGTTTTCATTTAATTTTTGTGCTTTATCGTCCTTTTGTGAAGTCAAGTTGATTTGGTTCTGCCGATGAAAGTCAAGTTGATTTGATTCTGCCGATGATGGTCAAGTTCTTAGCTTACTACAGTCAGAAAATTGATAAGTTGAGGGGTAAATTACGTACTGCTAAATGATTATTGTTTCTGTTGTTTGTGAGCAGGAGAACTACAAGATGGAGGTCCCCGAGAGCAGCAGTAATTCCAAGTTTTCATCTCCCAATGCGCAGTAATGAAGTTAAAAATAGGTAATATGCAATTTTAGTTTCTTAGGGACTTCTATAGAGTTGATTCGGGGTTATGTAATCTCGGCACAAAAGAAGTTTTTCCTTTTCCTTCTATTTCTTTTGGTAATCTTATTATTCCGAGTTGATTTGGTAAATGGCATCTAATTAGGTGTTGCTCAGTTGACTGGTTGAAGTGCGCACTAATCAACCGGCGTGTGCATATGGGATTCGTGCCACTTTTGGTGCTGTTTTTTTGTGTATGCTAGATAGCCTTAACGTTGCAACTGGATACTTAAGCTAGTGCTTGATTCTTTCTTTCTTATGCTTCAATGGGCTTACAATTTCTTTGGGAAAACATAAAGTATCTGATTATTGACATGTAAATGCAATTAACATATGATTATTGCCAGAGTTGTAAAAGGCAAAAATGATATGAAAAGCCACAGGCCGCTGGGGATTTAAGAGCAAAGGACAATTAATTCTATTTGAAGAAAGTTTTAGGTGAGATGGTAGGAAAACGAATGTAATATATTCGCAATTTATACTTAAAAAAGAAAAGTATGTTAACCATGATAGCAAGACACAGTAGACAATTTCAGAGCTAGCAAAATGTATTATATGGATGAAGGGATTAGAATAGAAGGCACTGGTGGTGCCTTGAGCATAGTTTTATTGTTGCTCTCAATGTGTGTGTGTGTGTGATTTGATGAATGGTTCTTGTGATTGGTATGTTTTTCCTAGCCTTGTAGTGAGGTCACCTCTGGATTTCATATCGTTTGTCTTCTGCAAACAAATATTGGTAGGAACTATTTAGTACTCCCTCCGTTCCAGTTTATGTGAACCTATTTCCTTTTTGGTCCGTTCCAAAAAGAATGAACCCTTTCTAAATTTGGAAACAATTTAGCTTAAACTTACAATTTTACCCTTAATGAGAAGCTTTTATAACCACACAAATACTCTGGGCCCCTTTTTGAGTTATTTAGGACCACAGATTCCAAAAGTCATTCATTTTTTCTTAAACTCCGTGCCCAGTCAAACAAGTTCACATAAATTGGAACGGAGGAAGTACTATTTTATGCTTAGGTATTGGCATATTGCCTTTTTTGAGAAAAATGGGCCACTCATTATCTTCTTATTCTGATTATCTATTAGCAGCAATAGATGATACATGCATGGGAAATAGATAAACTTGTAAATTTAGTTAAATTGATCAGCTATTAATATGAGCATCAAATACTTTGTAAGAGATACATGAAGACACAACTTTTACATGAATTCAGTTAACCTTCTCTTATGCAGGACGTTTGCAGATGACATAAAAGCACTTCGATTGATCACTGCAATCAAAACCCCATATCTACCGGATGGCAGATTCGATCTTGAGGCTTATGACACGTTAGTAAATTTGCAAATCGAAAATGGCACTGAGGGTGTGATTGTTGGTGGCACTACAGGTGAAGGTCAATTGATGAGCTGGGATGAACACATCATGCTCATTGGTCACACAGTCAATTGTTTCGGGGGGTCAATCAAAGTCATCGGGAACACTGGAAGCAACTCCACGAGGGAAGCAATACATGCGACTGAACAGGGATTTGCTGTAGGTATGCATGCAGCTCTTCACATTAATCCCTACTATGGCAAGACCTCCTTAGAGGGTTTGATTTCTCACTTTGAAAGTGTGCTCCCTATGGGCCCTACTATCATTTATAATGTGCCATCACGAACTGGTCAAGACATCCCTCCACGTGTAATTCAGACAATGGCAAAGAGCCCTAACCTTGCTGGTGTCAAAGAGTGTGTTGGAAATGATAGGGTGGAGCAGTATACAAGTAACGGGATTGTCGTTTGGAGTGGCAATGATGATGAATGCCATGTTTCAAGGTGGGATTATGGTGCTACAGGAGTTATTTCTGTTACCAGCAACTTGGTTCCTGGTCTGATGCGAGAACTGATGTTTGGAGGGAAGAATCTTGCTTTGAACTCAAAGCTGATGCCTTTGATGGAATGGCTGTTTCATGAGCCAAACCCCATTGCTCTAAATACAGCTTTAGCTCAACTTGGGGTTGTGAGGCCCGTCTTTCGCCTTCCATATGTTCCACTTACGAAGGCAAAGAGAGAGGAGTTCGTGAAAATTGTCAAGGAAATTGGACGAGAGAACTTTATAGGGGAGAGAGATGTCCAAGTTTTGGATGACAATGATTTCATTTTGGTGGGTCGGTATTAGTTTTTTCCCATGTAGTGTTGAGAAGTAGGTTTTTGTTGTTAGCTGCTTTGCTTGAAATTTTCTTGACATGAAGGTATCTTTCTTTTATGTTGTATTTCACTCGTGCATGACAGCTTCAATACTTTTTTTCAGCTTTCTCTTGGGAGGCATGTATATTATAGCTACTAGCTTATGGACTAGATCTCGTCTTCTGTTATCTGTATCCTTGTTAATCTTCTCCTGCCTCGGCGTGTTTAGGTGTATTGGTCATTTTTCTATGTCCAAAATACTCTAGCTTTTTCCCAAGTAGTGTTGCAGATCTTAAAAATCAAGGTTCAAATTCTAGTGGAGGTAAAAAGATATTAGATAATTTCTTTCCATCTACCTAAACTTTATTAGGCGCAGAGAGATAACAAATATTTGGTGAAATAACCATCATTTTCATTTTTATCTCCACTCACTCATATTATGGCCATACTTATTCCATTATCTATACCACCTTCAATTCACAAAAGTTCATGTCTGAACAATATTACCTTGTTTTCATCTCCACCAGTGCCAAAGCCGACATCTTATTTTAGTCCCTTATGCAACTCAAGAGCTTCATCATTTGTAGATTTTGGAAATTTATAAAACTTTCAGCATTTTTTGCAGGAACTTGTTCACAAAGGTTGAAGATGATTTCAACAAAGCTACAAAGGTTGATTTAATAGTAGGTGGGAAAGTTTATGGGTGTTTCTTTTGTCAAATTAGTATTAAATTTTGTTGGGGTTTAAAGTTAATGATGAATAGTAACTCTGATGGAATTGGGGATTTAAGCATTTTGATGAATTCCAGCATGTCTTTGCATCTGAACCATGCCACACAGTCCAATATTTTGCCCTTCAACTATCCATTAATAGTGGAGATTAGTTTTACTCCACACTCCATAGTTTAGTGTTAGCCAACAAGGAGAGATCAAACTCATTTTTGTTATTAACAAAGGTATGATCCCAACTATTATTGAAGAGCAAATCTAGACCATTCGCATAATTCAAAGGGAAGTAAATGCCATGTAATTCTTTTTAGGGAAAAGGGTCATATTTATCCCTGTACTCTTCAAAAAGGGTTATATTTGTCCTTCGTTATACTTTTTTGATATATTTATCCTTATCGTGATACTTTAGGAACATATTTGTCCCTGTACTCTTCAAAAAGGGTTAAATTTGCCCTTCGTTATACTTTTTTGACATATTTATCCTTACAGTTATACTTTAGGATCATATTTGCCCCCCATCCATTAAATCCCCACGTCGCACCTTTGTTTTCCTACAATGTGCCTATGTGGATTTCTTTTTCCTCCAATTTAAATATGGTCACCTATTTAAGATAATTTAACCCGCCCACCCAATTAAACCAGACCCACTAACTAAAATAAACTGAAATCCTAATTCCCAACCCCCACTCGTCCATCTCTTCTCCGGATCAGCTCCATATTTTTCGGATAGCAACGACAACCTATCAAATCAAGTCCGAGCGAGAAAATTTTGGACAGCGAGTGAAGTGTTACCTCTAATTCATCCGATGGCAACAACTCGGTTCAGTCTCGCTTATAGGCGCTATTCAAAACTTCACTCATCTTGGCATTTTCTTAAATAAACTTGAAAGTTTTCTTTGAGTTTTAGGCTTCTGTCAGTGCTCTATTTTAAGCACTAACCTTTGTCATTAACTCCATTGTTGTGCAACTTCTCGTAATTTACTTTGGTTACTGAAATAATTGTGAGCTGTATCAGATTAGTGATTTTGAGTTCAAAGTTCTTGTTTGCCAATATGTTACCGCTGCTATCCGAAAAACATGGAGCAGAAAAAGAACTTTATCTTAAATAGGTCACCATGTTTAAATTGGGTGGGCGAGTTATATTATCTTAAATAGGTGACCATATTTAAATTGGAAGAAAAAGAAATCCACATAGGCGTAGGAAAACAAAGGTGGGACATGGGGATTTAATGGATGAGGGACAAATATGATCCTAAAGTATAACTGTAAGGATAAATATGTCAAAAAGTATAACGAAGGACAAATGTAACCCTTTTGAAGAGTACGGAGGCAAATATAATCCTAAAGTACAATGGTAAGGATAAATATATCAAAAAAGTATAACAAAGGACAAATATAACCCTTTTTGAAGAGTACAGGGATAAATACGACCCTTTTCCGTTCTTTTTACATCTCTTTTTCGAAGCTAGCTATTTTTGTTAAAAAAATATCCCCTCCTCTCATATTAACAGTCGTGGTTACTAAAAATAGTTGTTTGTCATTTTAGAAGTTCAAGACAAAATTGTTATATTTTTCCTTTTTTACCCTTAATAATAATTATACTAGAAGACTACAAACACCTTAATTATGGAGAATTTTATTCAAATACCAAGAAGTCAACCTTGTTATCTTAAACACTTTAATCATGTTTACACCAATGCAATCAATAATATAAATACCAAAATTCTTTATAAAGTCTATTCAAATCAAAATTCTGCTAGAGTATATGATAATGAAAGAAAACTTTCAAATCGCTCGTTTGAAAATATTTTGAAGGAAAGATGAATTCCATTTCATGCGATCTCTGTTGGAAGAGTTAATTTTACTGATTTATTAATTTTATCCTAGGTGTCTCTTCATATTTTCTACGGAAAAGGCCTAAAAATGCCGCTCAACTAACATAAATAGCCTATTTATGCCATCCGTTAAAAGGTCACCCTATTCATGCCACTAACGTTATACTTTTGGCCTATTTATGCCACTAACGTTATACTTTTGGCCTATTTATGCCATTATCGACTAACAGTTCCATTTTTCGATTTAAATAATAAGAATTAATTTTTCGACCCCACCTTTGTCACGTATCTTTATATTATTGGTTCTTCTTTACTTGAGCCTACAACCATGCCCGACCAGATAAAATTCAACCATCTTTTAACCCAACTCCTAATTCATTATCACGACCCGATAAGTTCAGTGTTCATTGATTTGTATTTATTTGAAACTGATGTTGTTTTTATTTCAATTCAGTTTGTAAAAATCTAAATCTTAGAAGCTCATGATTTGTACTACCGGTTCTTGGGAAAAGTATTAAGGTTAAGTTATTTTATCATTTATTTGTCAAAAAAAATCTCATTAAATTGGATAGTTATTAATTGGCTTACCTAGCGGGTTGGGTTTCACGACTAGTTGGATTTTTGGGTCGTGACAAGGAATTAGGGGTTGGGTTAAAAGATGGTTGGATTTTATCGGGTTGGGCATGGTTAATTATACATAATCAAGGTTAAAAGAAATATAGGGTCAAGTAAAGAAGAACCAGTAATATAAATGCATGTGGCAAAGGTGGGGTCGAAAAATTAATCCTTATTATTTAAAAATAAGAAAATGGAACTGTTAGTAGACAATGGCATAAATAGGTCAAAAGTATAACGTTAGTGGTATGTATAGGGCGACCTTTTAATGGATGGCATAGATAGGCCATTTATGTTAGTTGAGTGGTATTTTTAGACCTTTTCCGTATTTTCTATAAAGTAAATCAATTGCATTCACATTTAGTAAAAATATGGATAATGTCATTGATAGAGATGACACATAAATTGAGAAAATATTCAATAAAGAAATATTAAATATTAAGACAAGAATAAGGGTAACATAGTCAAAATCCCATCCTAATTAATTTTACTCAAGGGGCGTACACAAGAGAATCATGACACATAATATGAGACCGATGGAGTACTAGCTAACCACTTGTGTCAAGTGTTTGGAATATACACAAACATTTGCGAATAATTTAAAAATAGCCATAATTTAAAAATGCAGTTCAGTTATTGCAATTCAAACTTCAGAAAAATTGTGTAAAGTGGATGTAGAATGTGATGGCAACTACTTTGGCTTCTTATTATGCGAACCATGACAACATACGTGATGACAAATTGCAGCGAGATTTATTTGATTTGAGTATATAAATGATGCAATTGTAAATTGTTTCTCTTGTCAAGACATTCTTTTAGTGAAGATATTGATCATTTTATGCTGTATGGAGTCTAGGGATTTATGCAATTGTAAATTGTTTCTGAATTGACCGTTGCAATTATAGCTACTTTTTAACTTTTTGGCAAATAGCGGCTATATTCTAAAAATATTATATGAGAAAATCACCAGCTATTTTTTCCTTTTATAACTTTGTGCCGGGAAAATGTAAATGTACTCTTTAACCCTTTGGACAGCTTTTTAAAAGTAAAAAATAAAAACAGTGTTAGGAACAAGTTAACAAGTGTCAGTTGGGTAAGCGGTTTGAACTCTGAAGAACACTCAAGTATACGTTGCCACAGTCGAAGCCATCAGTTTTTTAGACTTATGTACAGTATATATCACCCCTTTCGACTTCAACATCTTCACTTCAAATCCATCAAAACAATTAGAGATGATAGGACGAGCATTTGCAAATAGATCATCATCGTCATCATTGCGAGCTATTCTGAAAAACGAAGGAAAACTATCTGAATTACGGTTCGGGAGGTGGATTTCAGTTTCGACTAATGGTGCCGAAGAAGCAGAGTTGAGTGGGAAGCGATTCGCAGCCCTTTGGGGAAACGGGGATTACGGAAGGCTAGGGCATGGGAGTCTTGAGTCGCAGTGGCGCCCTAAGGTTCTGTTTCCTTCCGTTTTCGATAATCAAAACCTCCGTGAGATTGCTTGTGGCGGTGCTCATACTCTCTTCCTTACAGGTTATATAAATGTTCTCTAACTTGATCATATGCAGTTGGGATTCTTAGAAGAAAATGTGATTTTACTCCCTCTTATTTGTTACTCCCTCCGAACAACCTCTCTACCTCGCCAGGTAGGGTTAAGGTCTGCATACACAACTACCCTCCCCAGCCCCCACTTGTGGGATTATATTGGGTATGTTGTTGTTGTTGTTATTTGTTACTCCCTCCGTCCCATTTTATGTGGTTTTGTTTGAATGGGCGGTTATTGACATTTGTGTGGCAACCTCTCTATCTCATTAAGGGGTTGTTTGGTTGCTAACGAAGTTATTCCAGGATTATTATCCTACACCCAATGTGGGACAAATAACAGATTTTGATACAAAATTTAGACCAATATTAGTTATTTACCCATAACCAAACACTGGATAATCGTAATTGTCAAATTTTTTACCGGGATTAGTATTCTATTCCCCGTAACCAAACGACCCCTAA